CATCATGCGGCTTCTTTGCCAGGCCGCCAAACCGAACCCCAAACCCCAAACTCGCAACCCTAAACCCTAAGCCCTAAGCCCTGAACTCTACAGAGCCACTTGTGAGGGTTCAGGTTTAGGGTTTAGGGTTTAGGTTTTAGGGTCTAGGGTTTAGGGTTTAGGGTTTAGGGCTTATAGGGTTTAGGGTTTAGGGTTTAGGGTTTAGGCCGGGGGACCTAAACCAACTCTAGCCCCTAAACTGAAGTCTTCCTCAAGTCGGATCGCCCTGTCCCGCCCAGAACTGAGAGCCGAAGAAGCCGAGAAGGAGTTCAAGAAGGCTGAGGCTGCTGGAGGGTCTTAGTTCAGGGTCTAGGGTCTAGCGTCTAGAGTTTAGAATTTAGGGTTCAGGGTTTAGGGTTTAGGGTTTAGGGTTTACCGTGGCAGGCTGGTCACTGCTCAGCTGTGAGGGGATACCGCTGCAAGCTCAGAGCAGCACGCCCTAAGTCATCTGCTGAAATGGAGGATCACTGGTGCACATCCAGATGGCATCTGGGCTCTGGGCAGAAACTCATCCGATTCATGTCGTGGAATGCCGGCGGTCTTAGCGAAGGTGTCTTGCCTGAGTTCCTGACAGGGTCGAGGACGTCCGTGAGCATCACAGGCCACACGTGATCCTCATTCAAGAAACACACTGGTCACACACCAGCGAGTGGAGACTGGAGGCTGGCACCACGTTTGCTCTGAGAGGCCTGAGGGTGGCAAAGACAGGGTTTAGGGGTGGAGGAGTCTAGGGGTTGGGTTTTGGTAATGTTAAAAATGGGTAGGGTAATTTCATGGTCCCTTAAATCGGGACCCCGTATACACCCCTTATGTACACAAAAAACCCAAGCGCCAATGCTTCAGAACCCTTTAAAGGAGGCAAGGGACCGCATGAAGGGCTTAAGGGACCACGGAAGTACCCTCAGATAAAACTAGCGTGTGATGAAATACGATGCGTGGTTCTTTCGACTTGGCCCCTGCCAAGGGGGTTTAGGGTTTAGGGTTTAGGGATTGGGGTGGAGGGTTTAGGGTTTGGGGTTGGGGGTTTAGGGTTTAGGGTGGCTGCAAGAGGAGGCTACGGCCAGCCCACGTGCAGTCTCAAACCCACCGAGGAACCTGCCAGCAGAATCTCATTCGACGCGCTAAGGCTCACAAGCCCTATCAAGCCTACTCAACCTAGACTCTTAAGCCCTAAGCCCTATACCCTCTCTGTCACTGTTAAATGTTATTAGCTTTCCGGGCCCTCTCGGGACCAATGTTATTGGCTTTCCGTCGCCCTGGGCGACCAATGTTGTTAACTTTCCGGGCCCTCGGGACATTTTTTTGACAGGGCTGGGGGGACCAAGGAATGGTTAGCAACTGAAGCGTAAAGGGTTAATGGAGACCCTTTAGTTTCTTAATGTTATGGGATTCTTTGGGCGTGTGGGTTGTTGTCTAAGTCTATGCTCTGCACGTTCGAGTGAAAAAGCTCGATCCGGAGCGGCTGAACCCGCACCCTAAACCCTAAACCTTAAACCCTAAACCCTAAACCGTAAAACCTAAACCCTAAACCCTGAACCCTAAACCCTAGACCCTAAACCCTAAACCACTAAACCCTAAACCCTAAACCCTAAACCACTAAACCACTAAACCCTAAACCCTAAACCCTAAACCCTAAACCCTAAACCCTAAACCCTAAACCCTAAACCCCTCTTCAGTGTCCAGGCGGATGCCAGGATGGCCCAGGCCATGCACGACGCCGCGGCTGAGGACGCGGGCGTTTAGGGTTTAGGGTTTGGGGTTTAGGGTTTAGGGTTTGGGGTTTAGGGTTAGGGGTTTAGGGTTTGGGTTTAGGGTTTAGGGTTTAGGGTTCGAGGTTTAGGGTTTGGGGGTTAGAGTTTAGGGTTTAGGGTTTGGGAGTTTGGGGTTGGGGGTTTAGGGTTTGAGGTTTGGGGTTTAGGGCTTGGGGTTTCGGGTTTGGCGTTTGGGGTTTGGGGTTTAGGGTTTATGGTTTAGGGTTTCGGGTTTAGGGTTTGGAGTATGGGGTTAGTTTAGGGTTTAGGGTTTAAGGTTTTGGGGGTTTGTGGTTTGGGGTGCAGGGTTTGGGGTTTGGGGGTTCAGGTGGTTGTTACGTCTCGTAAGAAATGTTATTATGAGATGATTTTGTATTATGTCCAAAACCCTAAACCCTGCATCCTAATATGTATACATATATGTATAAGGTAATAATAATCATAACAATAACAATAATAGTATTAATAATAATAAATAAATCAATATCTATATAGATCGATAGATAGATAGATAGATAGATATATATATATATATAAACTAATAAGCCCTCCACCCGGAGGGTCAAAATCCCTAAACCCAGTTTGAGTGTGGATCAGGTCCATTGCATATACAAAAAAACTCATGAACATCGGCCTGTTTGCTGGAAAAAGGAGATCAGCAAGGCCTTCAAGAGACGGGGCATGCGATCAGTTGCAATGGATATCGAGCGCAGGCTCATGTGCAAAGATCTGTCCTGCTGTATGGTGTCGATATACGAACATGGCCTGGGATTCCCTGCGGTGCTCAGGACATTCTAAGCCCCAAAGGCTTTGTTCGGTCGCTTTGGGCGTTCCTCTGTGCTGCCCCTGGCAGCTTAAGCACTGCTGGGGTTGTGTGTTCTTCGTGGACACGCATCAATGGAAGCTTGGCAATACAATGTGCACACGCGAGAATCACAACTGGTCAAAAGATGCAGCGACGGGTTCGAACTCCACGTTGCAACATCTGGAAGATCAGCAGGACGCCCGCTAGGGAACGAGTGCCCGGGCAGCGTGAGGTTTTATTGCACCCCTCCCAGGAAAGCAGTCCTTGAAACCGCATGTACTGAGCAACGTTTTTGGTGCAAAACTCCAAAGCCCTAAACCCTAAACCCTAAACCCTAACCCTAAATCCTAAATCCTAAACCCTAAACCCCAAAAGGTTTGGGGCTTTTCGGTGGCCCTTCCGCGCGAGGAAGTGCAAGCCAGGGTGGCGGCGAAGAACATGGTGGTGGAGCCCGGGGCCCAAGGGAGGGGGTTTAGGGTTTTAGGGTTTAGGGTTTAGGGTTTAGGGTTTCGGGTTTCGGGTTTCGGGTTCAGGGTTTAGGGTTTAGGGTTTAGGGTTTAGGGTGGGGTCTTGGAGCAAGAGCTCATCGAGTTGTGAGTTCGGAGTTTCGGCTTCGGAGTTTAGGGATGAGGGCTTAGGGTTTAGGGGTTTAGGGTTCATGGTTTCGGGTTTATGGGTTCAGGGTTTAAAATTTAGGGTTCAGAGTTCAGGGTTCAGGGTTCAGGGTTCAGGGTTTCGGGTTTATTGGTTCAGGGTTTCAAGAGGAACTACCCAAAATTTCAATCCGGCCAAAAACTAAAACTCTGAGGCCTCAAAGACCTGAAATGCCCTGAGACCTCAAGGCCTGAAGCCCTGAACCGTGAACTCTGAATCCTAAGCTTTGAAGCCACTCTGCGGAAGGCTCCGCGAAGCCGTGCAGGCCTACTACGACGAGGCAGGAAGAGCCTAAGGTTTTCGAGTGCTCCATTCCTCAGGGCATGGGCGCGTAAAACGACGTTAAGGGGCAGTTCCTGGGCATTTTGGGATATTGCAGGGGCGGGGTATACAGTCAAAGGGCTTGGGCCTGTGGGGGATTGGGTTTTGAGCAGTATCGGGTCCTAAACCCCAAGCCCTAAGCCCTCAGCCCTAAGCTCTAAGCCCTAAGCCCTAAGCCCTCAGCCCTCAGCCCTCAGCCCTCAGCCCTCAGCCCTAAGCCCTAAGCCCTAAGCCCTAAGCCCGGGTGGATGAAGGAGTCGTCCTAGAGTTGTCTGTCCTACTTGTGTGACATGATTCTGTGCTTGTTTTGATCATCCCCCTGACTTTGATTGAAAGCTATGGTACTGGCAATATAAGCTTAAACATGGGCTGGGGGGCCACGCGAAAATTCTCGGGAAGTTGTGGAGTAATCGGGCTCGGGTGTTCAGCCGGAGCTGCTGCAGGAGGGTGCGTGGCTCAGGGCTGGGCGTTGCTTAAGAGCTGATTGCTGAATGTTAGGGCTTCTGGGTCTCTGAGGGACAGCGGCTTCCAATTCGCAACCCTAGCTTTCTATGCCACCCTGTACGGGCATTTCCCACAGTAGGGGCAACAATCCGCCACATGCCCTAGTCATTAGTCTAATCCTTAATATAGGAACTCCACCCAAAACGGGTAGACCTCAGTTCTCGAACCCTTCTTTTTCGGTGAACTCCAGGAGCCTCCCCTAGACCCCAGACCTCCCAATGAAAAGGGTTACCTGGAGGTTCATGGCACTATTTAACCCATCATAGCCGTACTTATAGCCCACTTCTAAGCGCCTTACGTGCCCCAATTTGGTTTTCGTTCAGTTATAAGTACAGTTATAATTGGTTAATAAGTACCACGAACCTCCCAGTATGGGGTTCACGCAGGTGGACGCCATGACGAAGTCCATGGAGGCCATCGGCTACGTAGGGCTTTTGGGCTAGAGTTGTTCTCGGTCTCGTTCCTGTCGAGAATGTTAGGGTGTTGGGGTGCAGGTTGGAGTGTGCTGGTTACTGGTTCGTAAAGGCCAGCTTGGGTTTCAATTCGTCCCGATGGGCTGCCACACCCCGATGCAGAGCACCCGAAGGGCACTGCGGGTACTGGTGGGATTTAGACCGGCACGCATCCCAAGATGTTCAGGCATAGTTCTAGAGGTGGCTCCTTTTCTTTCTACAGCCTGTTTTTTTGCTGTATGATCCTGCGTCAGTGTTTGAGGACTTGGGGTGCACTGTTTGTGCTTCTGGGATGCGATTTACATGAAGAGTTTGCATGGAGAAAAGTTTAGGATGCAAGCCTCATCGAGCTCAAGCACCCAGAAACAATACCTGCTCCCGACCATGGCCAAGGCGCCCGAAAGGCATCCCACCACCAGGAATGGTTGCTGCCTTGGGTGCCCGGCAGCGCGAGCACGGCCTTACCGGGCAGCCATGGCTGCACTGTGGGTTGTGGGCTTCTTGATAGAGACCTCTGGCAGCGGTCGGTTGCTCTTCGTAGGTTTCACAGGCCACTTGCGACAGCAGGGCGGATCAGAGATGACGACGCCCTCCTTGTGCAGAACTCTGCAGTGCCGGACCGCGTGCAGGGTGCGGGAGCGCAGGCGCAGCAGCCCAGCACGGAGTGGTGAGGGCGCTGCCAAGAGGCTGACATCCAGCATCTCGAAGGCCCGATCGACTGCAGCAATCCTCAACCTGCTGGGCAAGGAGGTGGACGGCGACATCTTCAACGAATTCCACATGTCAGCAGCGTTTTCCCGATTGGCTAAGTTCAGCCAACGGCGCAAGCTGAGCCGGGAAGATGTGGCCAGCCCTGTCTGGCTAAGATTGCTGTCCCGGCTGTGCACCATGCTCAAGGAGAGCATGCTCGACGCACGGGGTGTGGCCAATGTCTTCTGGGCCGCTGCGCATTTGCAAGATGCTGCACCGCAGGTGCTGACAGCAGTGCCACCCGTCGCAGAATGCATACTGCAGGAGGTAGATGCAATGGATTCTCAAGCGCTGTCCAACATCATATGGTCAGTGGCAAAGTTGCAAGATGCTGCGCCGCAAGTGCTGATAGCAGTGCCAGCCATCGCAGAGCGCATACCGCGTGCTGTCGAAAACATGAAGCCTCAAGAGCTATCGAACAGCCTGTGGTCAGCTGCGAATCTGCAAGATGCCGCACCGCAGGTGCTGACGGCTGTGCCAGCCATCGCAGAGCGCATACCGTGTGCGGTTGAAGGCATGAAGCCTCAAGAGTTATCGAACAGCCTGTGGTCAGCTGCGAATCTGCAAGAGGCCGCACCGCGTGTACTGACAGCTGTGCCAGCTATCGCAGAGCGCATGCTGCATGTGGCAAAAGGCATGACGCCTCAAGAGCTATCGAACAGCCTGTGGTCAGCTGCGAATCTGCAAGATGCCGCACCGGAGGTGTTGACAGCTGTGCCAGCTATCGGCTATCGTTGAACGTATACCACAGGAGGTAGATGGCATGGTTCCTCAACATTTGTCGAATATTTTGTGGTCGGTTGCGAATCTGCAAGATGCAGCACCGCAGGTGCTGACAGCTGTGCCTGCGATCGCCGGACGCATACCGCAGGAGATAGACGGCATGGTTCCTCAAGCGTTGTCCAACATTCTATGGTCAGCCGCGAAGTTGCATGATGTGGTTCCACGGGTGTTGACAGCTGTGCCTGCCATCGCTGGACGCATACCGCAAGAGATAGACGGCATGGTTCCTCAAGCGTTGTCCAACATTCTATGGGCAGCTGCGAAGTTACAAGATGTGGCGCCGGAGGTGCTGACACCTGTGTCAGCCATCGCAGAACGCATACCGCAGGAGGTAGACAGCATGGTTCCTCAAGCATTGTCCAACATTCTATGGTCAGCTGCGAAGTTGCAAGATAAGGCGCCAGAGGTGCTGACAGCTGTGCCAGCCATCGCAGAGCACATACCACAGGAGGTGGATGGCATGCTTCCTCGACACATCTCGATTATTTTATGGTCAGCTGCGAAGCTGCAAGATGCCGTGCCACAAGTGCTGACAGTAGTGCCATCCATCGCAGAGCGCATACCGCGAAAAGTCGAAGGCATGAGTCCTCAACACGTGTCGAACATCCTGTGGGCGGCCGCGCGGCTGAAAGACTCAGCGCCACAAGTCATCACGACCATTCCAGCTCTTGTGGCCAAGGCTCCCGCGGTCATCTCAACAATGCAGGCAGATGGCTTACAAATGTCTCTATGGGCTGCTGCGGAGCTTGGCGAAGTGCGCTTGGAGGGCCTGCTCAAGAGGGAGCTGGGCCGTCGGAAGCGCTGAGGCACTCGCTGAACACGTCTGACGCATGCTCACACTAGTTGGTTAGTTATTGAAATTTGGGGGTTTTGAAGTTGGCGACGTTGCTCTCAAGTGTGTTTTTAGGTGATGGACGAATCTAGCTCTTTTTCGGCAGCAGCCGGCTGCCTCCGCTTCGCACGGCTCTGCACCAATCCGGCCCAGTGCTCTCCCTGAGATGCACGACCAGGATTCGAGTGCGCTGCCATGGGAAGAGGGCCCGGCAGCCGCGCAGCCCCTCCATGAAGCAGGACCCAGTGGCCCCCGCAGAAATCGATGGCCGGCCTAGCAGCACTTGGAAGCCCTAATTGCATTAGTATATCTATGATTTCAAGTCCACCTTCCGTGATAGTCCATATTACCAGGTTCCCAGCCCTGAGCCGCATAGGACGCCTCATAATATACCTGCAGCAACTCGAAGCTACGTCGTCTTCGCGCTGGCTCCTGCAATCTCTTTTTTGTGCATCCGCGCGGGTGAGCGAAAGGCATGGTGCTGCTTGGGGGTTGTTTTACCCCATCCCTAAGCCCTAAGCCCTAAACCCTGAACCCCTATTCAGGGTTCCCCTCAGCCCGGGTCCAGACTGCCACGACCTTTCGACCTCAGTTCCATGCCCCCGAAGATAGCCCCGTCCCCTCAACCCTATGGTCAGTTCTCGAAATCAGGGTCTCGGGTACCCTAAATAAGAGGGGCCGCCTTGTAATAAGGAGCCCAAAAGGGACCACAACCTAGAGAAGTTTCCATATAAGCCCTAAATGCCCCGCCCTAAGCCCGCGACATCCTGAACACACAGTCTGCAACCCTAGGTAGGCCCATGGGATTGTTACATCTTCCTTGTTGGGTTGCATAGGATCGTATTGAGGAATACTTTGGGATGTTCCCCCTTTTACTAACAATCTTGTACCCCCTATGATAATCCCTATTAAGGGCTGCTAGTTTTTCCGGGAACGTGTCAAGGAATACTTTTTCCCCTAAACCCTAAACCCTAAACCCTAAACCCTAAACCCCAAACCCTAAACCCCAATTCAGAGGCCTTAAGGGTCGAACCTGGGAACCGCACAGAAATTGGCAAGCCCCGACCTCCAGTTTAACTTAAGCCCCCCTCAAGCACACTTCGAGCACATCCTGAAACCAGTTGGGGGTTTTGGGGTTTTGGGGTTTTGGGGTTTTGGGGTTTTGGGGTTTCGGGGTTTCGGGGTTTCGGGGTTTCGGGACGTTGGGACTTTGGGGTGTGCACCCCAACCTCACCCCCACCCCCCCCCCCAAAAGCCCCGAAAGCCAAGCCCGTCTCGATGCAGGCTCTCTTGGCCCAGAGCGAGGCCGACGGCAGCGGCAAGAAGGCCCACGAGCTCATGCGCGAGGCGGGGTTTAGGGTTTAGGGTTTAGGGTTTAGGGTTTAGGGTTTCGGGTTTCGGGTTTAGGGTTTAGGGTTTAGGGCGTAGATGCTGTGAAGGTTAGGTTTCGGAACAAGCTCGAAAGCTTCGTGAGGTGCTGAAGAGCAGCTTTGGCCCGATTGTGGCGGGCCATCTAGCACTTTCCTCCCACCCCACGCCGTCAAGGCGGCAAAGCCACCCAAACCTATTCCTTTTAGGGTTTAGGCCTAAACTCAGACAACAGTCCACTTTTCAAAACTTTGATGTTGGTTGAAACCGAGAGTCAAGGGTGCCAGCAAGGTCTCGAAGGTAAGATAGAGGCCCCGAAGCCGGTGTGGCGGGTAAAGAGGACAGGCGGCCAGTCACCAGTAAGGGCCACAAATCCCAGTAGGTCAGGGAGGGGGAGGGGGGGCGAGGCGGGCAAGCGACCTGGGTCGGCTTGTGCCATCGAGGTCAAAGGGCTTAAGCGCCGCCCCCCAACGTAGCAGGGCGGCCTAGGCCCTGAGTTTAGGGTTTAGGGTTTAGGGTTTAGGGTTTAGGGTTTAGGGTTTAGGGTTTAGGGTTTAGGGTTTAGGGGATTTAGCAGGGCGTCGGCGTTACTGGGTTTAGGAGGGTTATGCATGGGGTTCACTTCACGGTTTAGGGCTGAAGTTGGAGGGCTGAGGGTTGGCTTCAGAATCTTCGGTGCTGTGCTGCGTCTGCCTTCTCGGAGCTGCAGGGTTTAGGGTTTAGGTTTAGGGTTCAGGGTTAAGGGTTTGGGGGTTTAGGGTTGGGGTTGCTTGCATTCTCTTGCTTCTTCAGCCCTCCTGGGGGCATGCTTGGCAACCCTACACCCTAAACGCTAAAGAAACCGAAAACCCTACTGCACCCGAAGCTCTACAGTCTACATCCCGCGCCCCAAACTCAGAGTTCTGCTTGCTTCTCATTCCGCACCTCCGGTCGAAAAGGCCTGGGCTCGGATCCCAGAGAAACGCTGCGCATCCCACCGTTATGCCGAAGCTCGGGGTTGAGGAATGTCGGGTTTAGTGTAGCTCCTACGATTCCCTACCTCAGCTTCTGTGGTATTAAGAAGAGTAACCCAAATAATAGCAATAACAGTGATAATAATGATAATAATAATTGTAGCAACCGTAATGGAAGTAAAAGTCGTAACAATCGTAAGAAGAGTAGTGCTAGGCTCTAAGCTGCTCGTCACACTGGGGTCCTGCGCAGAATTTGGGGTTTCAGTTGCTCTTCACAACTAAGTCCTGCCCAGGGCTTGCGGCTTCACAGGGTCTAAGCTGCTCTTTGCAACTGGGGTGTCCTGAACAGGGTTTGGGGGGTCTGGTAGGGTCGAGACCGGGGTCCTGCCCCGGGGTTAGAGTGGCAGGACCCCACTATCATTTTCATTATTATGATTATTATGATTTTGATTTTGATTATTATTGTTATGATTAACTATCATTTTTATGGTTCTTATGATTATGATTATTATTACTACTCTTCTGACTACCATGGCAGGACCCCAATGTGAAGAGCAGCATGATCGTCTACAACAAGATGGTCGGCGTCTTCCGCCGGCTCTTCCACGAGGAACGGCCGCCGGGCCCGGACTTGAAGCCGACAACGAGGGTTTAGGGTTTAGGGTTTAGGGTTTAGGGTTTTAGGGTTTAGGGTTTAGGGTTTAGGGTTTAGGGTTTAGGGTTTATGGTTTAGGGTTTAGGGTTTAGGGTTTAGGGTTTAGGGTTTAGGGTTTAGGGTTTAGGGTTTAGGGTTGCCCTTCAAACCCCAAAACCCCCAAACCCTAAACCCTTGGAAACCCATAAAGCCCGAAATAGGGAGTTTGTAGGCTTCAATTCCTGTTTATGGGCCCTGGGTCCCAGGCCCTGAATCATCTGGGCCCTAGAGCCCCGACAACCCTTCCACAAGTGCACCCCCCCCCCCCCCCCCCGCACTTTGTGAACTCGCGGAACTGCAGTTCTGGGAGTGTTGGGATCCGCAAGGCCCCAAGCCTTCATAAATTAAACTCATAGATGCCTTTGCTTGTATGCTTGTATGAGTTCTGAGGCTCTGGTGCTTGGGGAGTGAGGTTAGGGTGAGCTAGGGGTGCGGGTCTGTCAATTATAGTAGAACTGCTCGAAGCGCCTTCCCTACTAATCCCACACCCTCTACACCTGAAACTTACCCTACAGCCCCCCCTATTTTTTTTGGCGGGCGCGGGATTCAAGACGCCCCCTATTTCCCTGTGACTGTCTACAAAGTGTAGATTTTCTTGTCTTTGCCGTCTGAATTGGGGTCCTTACAGACTCAAGACAGATTCTGCTCCGACAAAGCCTTGCTGTTGCTTCTTTTAAGCTTTCATTACTAAAACCTCTCAAATTACCTCTTCTTAAACTCTTCAATATGGCCGAATATTTAAGACGCCCCTGGGTTCTTCGCTCATTTCACCGACAGCAGCTTTATTGAGGGTGATCATGTGTGACATGTTGCGACGCTGATCATCTATTTAGTATGGTCGAACCACTGGGCCTGGAGCCTCACACTTGCAAGCCTAGTTCAATCCAATGAAACTCCAACCCCTGAAATCCAAACAACTGACCAAAGACAAGGCACTTAAGACTTACCAAACACACCTATGCCGGGCGCGGGGCCTACATCTTTCAGCCTAACCATCTGATCTCATGTTAATCACCCGATTCCGGAAAAAATCACCTTTAAACACCAGAAACCTCTCTTTTTTGAGTAAAACCAAGGGACGTCTTAAATCCCGCGCCCGGCTTTTTTTTGGAAACCCCAAATTCTGAACCCCTGAACCCCAAAACCCTGTGTCGCCAAGGGAGTTCTTCAACCTGGTCGCCGAGAGCAACAAAGAGATCCAGGATCCAACCCTAAACCCTAAACCCTAAACCCTAAACTCTAAACCCTACACCCTAAACCCTAAACCCTAAACCCTAAACCCTAGACCCTATCAACGTCAAACCCTGAACCCAAAACCCTGCACCCTACACCCTAAACCCATACCTCTGGTTTTCAGGATGGGCGTCTCATGCCTCCAGGAGGGTGGTGCCCTAAAACCTAAACCTTGAAACCAAAATGCCAAACCCTTCACGCCATAAAACCCAAGTTTGGTGCGTTTTAAGTTTGCGCTTTGAGCTTGATTTTCATTTCTTGGGGTTTTCAGGATTCAGGGCTTAAGCTAGCGCTCAAGTTTGGGTAGGCTCGTGGACTTGGGGTAAACAGTCGAAAGGGTTCAGGGTTAGAGGTTTAGGCTTTTGTGGGTATAGGGTTGTAGGGTTTAGGATTTTAGGGTTTAAGGTTTAGGGTTGTGGGGTTTAGGGCTGTGTCGTTGAGGGTTCAAGGTTCAGCCAAGCGCATGCCCTACAAGTGTGCGGGTTTAGGGCTCAGGGTTCAAGGTGCAAGCTGTAACAGAACTCGAACATGGTTGCCCCTGGAGCTCATCATCCAGATGCCAACTCTACACCCTGAACCCTAAGCCCCTAAACCCTGAATCCTAAGCCCCGAAACCCTGCATCCGAAGCCCTTAAACCCTGAATCCCCTGAATCCTAGGCCCCTACACCCCTAAGCCCCTCAACCCTGCATCCCAGGCCCCTAAACCCTGAGCCCTGAATGCACAACCCTAACTCCGAAACCCAAGGCTCTTTAGGGTTTAGGGTTTAGGGTTTAGGGTTTAGGGTTTAGGGTTTAGGGTTTCGGGCTCTTTACACGACGTAAATGAGGGTATTGTTCACCCCCTTTCACCTTGAACCTTTTAGGGTATGTGCAATCCTGCCAGAAGTGAAAGGCTAACCTGTTTGGGCCAGGGTACTCAGCGCTTAGGTCGAGTAATATCGGGGTCGGAGTAATTACTAATAACAATCCTTTATGGTCCCTATATATTAAACCCTATAAACCCTATAAACCCTATAAACCCTATAAACCCTATAAACACTATAAACCCTATAAACCCTAAACCCTACACCCCCTAAACCAAGCTTCAACTCCCTGAAGCATGCCGGATCCCAACAGGAGAACGCCCAGGCCGCCATCCTCTTGCAGTGTGACCCGCTGGAGGACACAGCGACCCCCTATAGACCCTAGACCCTAGACCCTAGACCCTAGACCCTAGACTCTAGACTCTAGACCCTAAACCCTAAACCCTAAACCCTGAAAGCCTTGCGGGCTACTCTTGGCGCTGCTTCCTCAAAGAAGGCGTGCCGGGGACCCTCCTTGCCTACAGTTTTATGGGTTATACCTACTATTTAAGGACAGTGACTATTTAAGGGCAGTTACTACTAAACCCTAAACCCTAAACCCTAAACCCTAAACCCTAAACCCTAAACCCTAAGCCTAGGTAACGAGGGCCCCAGGTACTGTTTTCCTGGGAGGCAGCCCCTTATGCCACATGCAACTTCTACCCCATCCTTCGGCTGCCTTAAAGAGTCTTGGAGAGGTTTGGGTTTAGGGTTTAGGGTTTAGGGTTCAGGGTTTAGGGTTTGGGGTTTGGGGTTTGGGGTTTAGGGTTTAGGGTTTAGGGTTTGGGGTGTGGGGTTTGGGGTGTGGGGTCTGGGGTTTGGGGTTTAGGGTTTAGGGACTCCCAAGCTCTAAACACTCAAAGCCCCGATACGGATGAACATTTTCACCAGCTCCCCTTACCTACCTCCTACTCGGCTCCTTTTCATCAGGGCAGGAGACATGTCTTGGCCCTGAAGACCCTAAACCCCCTAAACTAAACCCTAAAAACCCCAAACCCCAAACCCTAAACCCCAAACCCTATCCCTAATAACCCTAAACCCTAATCCCTAAAACCCCAAACCACAAAACCACAAAACCCCAAACCCCAAACCCTAAACCCTAAACCCTAAACCCTGGAGTCCCTGGGTAACTTTGAGGACCTGGAGATGGAAGCGCGGGAAACCAAAAGCTTCGCCCCTTGGGTTTGGTGTTGGCGCGCGCGCGCGAGAGGGTAAGGCTTAGGGTTTAGGGTTTGGGGTTTAGGGTTCAGGGTTTCGGCTTTTTTGTTTTTTTTAGGGTTTTTCGGGTTTTTAGGGTTTGTAGGGTTTTTCGGGTTTGCAGGGTGTTTCGGGTTTATTAGGGTTTTTCAGGTTTTTAGGGCTTTTAGGGTTTTTCGGGTTTTTTGGGTTTTTAGGGTTTTTCGTCTTGTTGGGGTTTTCAGGGTTTTTAGGGGTTTTAGGGTTTTTAGGGTTTTTGGGTTTTTTGGGGTTTTTGGGGTTTAGGGTTCCGCTTGATAGATTCCGAACATGGCCCTTTCTACTAAGAATCTTCAAAACAGGGTTCCCAACTCCCAAGGGTACAACCTTAAGGGTCCCAGGTACAACCCAGAAGAGGTTTGGGGTTTGGGCCCGGATCGGGGTTTGGGCGCTTTAGGTTGGGGGGGGTGGGGGGAGGGGAAGGGCCAGACCTGAGACTCTTAGCCTTGGAACTTTCCGAAACCTTAAAACCCAAACCCCTCACAACTCTCCCCCCCTTATGGCCTGGACCCAAAGTCACAAAGGCCCAAAAAAGCCAAAAGCCTCCCAAACCCTAAAACCCCGAACCCTGTTTGAACCCCCGAATGGCTAAAGCCCTAAAGCCCGAAGTCCTCTTCAAGCCAGCGGATTTAAGATTCCCGGATCTTCGACAGCAGCTTATGAAGGCATCCCGCAGCCCGACATGCTAAGTAGCTAGGATGCCCAGTAGTACCCTTATTCCCTTTTGCGGGGGCTTCGGTTCCCTTATAAACCCCTTTAAGCAAAAAAGGGCACCCTGTTTAAAGCCTAGGTTACTGGGCAGCCTAGGTAAGTGATCTCTTTTCCATGACTTGCGGCATTCTTTCTCAAGTCGGCGGCTCCTGAGCCCCTTAGCCCGAAGCCCTGTAATTTGGGTTTGGGGTCAAGGGCTAAGGGTTCAACGCTAATTGTGCCCCAAAACATGAGTACTTTCCTACAGGGGGTACCCAGTATATAAGGCGGCACCCTTGCAAAAGGGATCGCAGAGAGAAATGCCCTTATTGCCCGGTGTGTACACCCCAGGAGAACCTGAATGAGAAGTGCGGCAGTGCCTCGGGCAGCTTTCAAAGCTTGTTTGTTTTTTGGTTTTTGGAGTTGGGGGTTCTCGGTTTTTGGGCGCGTCGAGGGTTTCAAGTTTCGGGTCTGGGGTTGGTTTAGGGTGTAGGGTTTGGAACTTAGGGGTTTAGAGGCTTAGGGGCTTAGGTTCTTAGTGGGGTTTATACGGCTTCGGCTCTGGCGGTTTGGGTTCCCTGAACCATATAAGCCTTGAATCTCTGAACCAGCCTGGGTCCTAAGGTCCTACCCTATAGAGCCCAATCCCCAGTCGTGTTTGTTTCCGTCCTTTGGGTCAAAAAACCCTTGAGGCATTTCTGTGGCATGTCCTTCTTGAGCCTTGGACACCCTAAAACGTAAACCCTAAATTCTAAACCCAAACCCTAACCCCTAAACCCTAAATCCTAAACCCAAAACCCTAGACCCTAAACCCTAAACCCTAAGCCCTAAACCCTAAACCCGAACCCCTAAACCCTAAACCCTGAACCCTGAACCCTGAACCCTGAACCCTGACCCTAAACCCTAAACCCTGAACCCTTAACCCTAAACCCCAAACCCCAAACCCTAAACCCTAAACCCTAAACCCTAAACACCACCCAAGCCCTGTCCTCAGCCGGCCTGTGGGAGAGCCTCGGCCTGGAGATGTTTCTGGGCAGCACTGTTTTGGTTTTCTAACTTGTGTTTTTTTTTGAAGGTTTTTTGGGGGGCTGTAGGGCTTTTAGGTTTTTTTTTCAGGGTTTGTTTTTTAAGGTTCTTCTGTTTTTTCAAAGTGTTTTGGGGCTGTAGGGCTTTTCGGGTTTTAGGGTTTGTTTTTGAGGTGTTTGGGTTTTTGAGGGCTTTTAGGGCCTTGGGGGGGGGGGGGGGGGTTGGGGTTTCAGGGTTTTTGGGGTTTTAGGCTTTTTTTGGCTTTCGGCGTTTTGGGGTTTTAGGGTTTCAGGGTTGTTGGGTTTGGGGTGTTTTGGGGCTTTAGGGGTTTTAGGGTTTTGGGGATTTAGGGTTTTTAAGGCTTTATGTTTTTGGGATTTGGG